TCCGAACTCGGGACTATAGGTGTTAGCACCGAACCATTCTTCTTTCCGACCACGCCGTCCCCATTATTTTCAAATTGGCAAAATAACTGGCGAAAAATAAATAATTTAAAATATTTAATCTTACAGACTTAGCCATACAGGTATTCATACATGAAAAAAGGGATTATAATTATAATACAAAAGACAACACCCGTTACATATTAACCGTCGTACATCCGATGAACGCAATAAATATAAATATATGACTTTTTTACCATACATAACATTACGCATATTAAAAATCTTGATTAAAAATTTAGATCGTAATTTATTGCTCGTCTGAGTGGACTATTTTTAGCCCAGGTGGGCTACTGGACTACTGATGGACCACTGGACATATAATTTTTTAATTCACATCCGAATTGGATTGGAGCCCCATAAGGACAGATGCACTTGTTTTAAAATTACTATTTATTAAAAAGATGTTTTTTTTTAGTAATACGACGTGTAGGCCGTATTTATCAGCCAACATTTGACAATCGTCGGTTCCCTCCATACCTGTAGGCAACATTTGATAAACCGTTGACTCCGTGCTAACTAACACTTCTCCCTATACGCCCCATGACAAACTCTAACACCATCTACATTTTAACTCTCTACATCTTTCCTCTAGCGCTAGCTATCTCTAAATGCTGACCCACGCTTAAGTGGTCATCTGACCGTCTCACGTGACCGGTCATCTCCTGCAAATCTACCTAAGCTATGATCTGTTTTTGCTTTCTTCTGTTTGACCTCTGTGACGTATAACTTTCGTCATTACACTAGCTTACATTGTTTTAGTGGTAAGATCTGTAACAAAGTGCAGATAACCATGTGTTTCGTGTGCGCTGACTGGGCTTTGCATATTGAACACATGCAGCTCGATGAACACTGTCTCATCTTCATTACAACAAACTAAAAACCGGCTGAACATCATATACTGCTTCTGGCATTTTCCAAGTTCAAACAAAATTTCTTTGTTTTGTTTTGTAATTCTGGGATTTGCTATGAACTTCATTATACAATTAACAAGACAAAAAAATACAAGCGTATGTTGTAGAAATAAAACAATTTATAAAACATGACTTTAAACACATGTGTATATTAAATAAACTTTATTGTTCAACCATATACATATAATGCTCATAATTACATTATTTATACAACAGGGATGAGTTTTTATTGTTTCGTTTCAAAATCTTTAGAACACTTTTTAATGAAATAAAATAACTAGCAGTTGAAAGTGCCTTCAAAATTTTAGAGGCCAAATTAAAAAACATAATCCAAACTGGCATGAAAATTAAAACCATTTACCTACATCTTAAGCCTATGTACACTGTAAAGTGGACCTTTATTTACAACCTTTTCCATACCTCAAATTCCCTTGTCATTACCACAAATTTGATTGTAAAATAATTTAAAACTAACAAATCTAAAAATTTCTCTATTAAAAATAAACTTCTATTTAAAATGCCCCTATAATTATATTGTATCATCAACAAAGCCATGTATTGATCAGGCATTTTTACATTAATAAAAAACAAATAATTAGAAATACTCATAAGACTGACAATAATAGGCACGTACATAGCTCTATGAATGTTCAACTCTTTTACTTCAGTTATTCAAACCTATACAATTTTTTCATTCTCCAATCACCTGACTTTCAAATGTCTATGTGGTGAGTTTCTGAGGTAAACTAGACAGGTTTTTAAAATACTTAAAATGAGTTTTAAATCAAAATGCTTGAAAGCATAAGACTGAAAAGATAAAGGTTTAGGTGGGGAAAATAATTTCATGTAGATCTCTAACTCTAATAGATAAACTTAAAACAAAAATTGTACATATTCAAAGCAAACATTTATGTGTACTTGTTTAAAATGAAGTTCATTTAAAAGATTATAATTTTACTTTCTTTTTTCCTTCATAAATTAAATAAGCTGGGCCTACATAAAGTTAACTTACACAGGAATGTAACGTAGACCTTTACTAAGAGAAACACAAAGATGAAAATTAATAAACAAACAGACTTGACCACAAGATATGATTCTCGTTAGCCTAGTCAAATCTGTTTTGACACTTCTAGACATGTTTATTGACATTCTGTAAGGGTACCTTCTCTTATAGGAGCTTATCCATATTAGGACTATTGGGGGCCTGCTAGGGGCATGTTTAGGCTCTTTTTACAATCTGTGGGGCTCAACTATAGCAGCACTTCAATGAGTTTTACTGGGGGTACTATAGCCTTATTATGAGTACTTTATGGTGCCATGTTAGATTCACACTTTGAGGAGCCCTGCTGTAGGTGTAGCAGGTGGAGCTTGCTATGGGTACTTTTGGGCTCTATTGGAATATCTGTTAAATGTGTACCTGGTGGAGCCTACTAGAGGAGCACTTTGTGGAGCCCTACTAGAGGAGCACTTTGTGGAGCCCTGCTAGAGGAGCACTTTATGGAGCCCTGCTAGAGAAGCACTTTGTGGAGCCCTGCTAGAGGAGCACTTTGTGGAGTCCTTTAAGAGCGCTTTATGGAGCATTGCTAGGTGTGCATTTTATGGAGCTGAGCTAGAGGGACAGAATCCCAAAAAAGATTTTATCATTCTTTGATATTATGGGTGCTGGTTCATATCCCACTTGCAAGATAAAATATATGACTAGTGTGAGTGTGTGATTGTCACATAGGGAGAAGCTAATACAAAGAACACAACAGCCTCCAAATGCTCTTGGGAAAATTCTGTGTTAAAGGGTGGGGGGGGGGAGGAGCGTCTAAAAAAGCATCTGAAAGAAACATTGAATTTTTTTTTGCTGATCATAAAACAATGTCCTGAAGTTTTAAGAATAGTTTGAAGTTAGATATCAAGGAATATTAAAACTACAGTAAAAGTCTCTTTTTCAGATTAGTTTAGTACACATTTATAGAAACACTTTTGTGTTCAAGTGTTCCTTATAATGAAAATTATATGTTTAACAGAGCCAGCTTTCAGGAAACAATTTAACATGTAAACAATAATTTAAAAATGAAGTGTGTGTGTGTGTATGTGTGGGGGGTGGGGGTACAGACCCTGATGATGTATGGGCAGTTGTAAACATTTTAAATTCTTTTCAATACAAGCATGATGGTTTCTTATGTAGAACTTATAACATTTTGTTTCAGCAATAGTTTCAGTTTGTTTTTTATTTGATTTTATAGGGTAACAACGAGTTCACTAAATTTAATGCAGGAATGATACTTGTCTGCAATAAATATGAATGTTGATATTCAATAGCTTTATATAAACTTTTTAAAGACTTCAATGGTGTGGAAGGGAATGATTAAAAAGGTTTTCATTTCATGCATGAACAATCCTGACAAACGTCATTTTATTTGTGAAGTCAAAACTATGGGCAGTGAAGAAAAAAAACTCATTTTTTAAATCATATAGGGTATAATATTAAAAAACCTGAATGTCTTTCTTTGAAGCTAAATGTTGATAGAATTCAATGAGTTCGTTGTTCTCATGTGGATAAGCAAAAACGTAAATGAGAAGCAGTTTCAAAATACGACTTAAAAGATTCCATCTAGTTAAATAATGATTTTCCATAGGCTTTAATGAGTTCATATATGGTGAAATTTTTTTTTAAATTATTCAATTATAAGAATTTAAAAAAAAAAAATGCTTTAAAAAAGTTTAAATGGAGTGTTCTGATTTTGAACTAAAATAACTATTTTCAACTACATTTAAGATCTATAAAATCAAAATCTGTTTAAATATTCTCAAGCTGATATGTACAAAATTGTACACTAAGAAAATTGACTAAACACATTCAAGGAAGACCGGAGTAACTCCCTCAAACATCATTGCTCTCAATACAGCACGTCATTATCATACTGAAAATGTTTTTCTAATACAAAAACTATATAATCCATTTAATATTCTAGACTATATACTGGAAAATTATTCTGATTTTGCTAGGTAAGACCCAAAGAATGTACACAAGCATTATACAATATCAGCATTTACATTTAAATAAAAAAAAAATTTATTTACATCACTGAGCTAAGTTTCCTGGTTAAATTATTATCTTACAAGAAAACATATTTACAGGACACAGTTGTTTCCCTTTGATTTTAAAAGGAACCAATCAGCAGCTGGGTAATGTAAGTATCAAGGGCCAGTACTTTTGTAAACTGGGGGCACCACCTTACTGCAGCTTAGATTGACACTACATGGCTATAAATAGACAAGTAACAAATTAACACCTCATTATTTCCATTTAAAACAACAGAAGAGTTTTTAAAATGATAGAAAATGTGTTCTAAAATACAAAGTTACTATGATAATTATTTCACAGACGATGTTATGACAAACAAAAGTAAAAAAACATAAAGTAGAAAATAAAATAATTCTGTTTATAAAATTTAGCCTGAAATTCAGATATAGGATGGCAGTATTTGTCTGCCACTGACATTCACTGATGTGAGTGTCAGTGACTCACATTAATTTATGGTTTGTCAATGACATTCATTCTTGTCTTTAACTGACACTGACAACCAACAAAGCACTTGCTATGAGAAAAAAAACCTGTCTTTTACATTAAAAAAATTCTAGGTTATGATGTTTTATTACATACACAGTGGGCTCAAAGGGGCTCTGGCCTCGCTTAAATGCAAAAGTATCAAACATTTTGTTAAGGCACTCAAAGATAAACATCCAGTCCAAGTTTTAATTACAGATTTTACAAGTTGTGTTTTATCTATAGATTCATGAAAATGTTTTTTTTTTACTAGCTCTAAAATGACAAAATTTAGGATCTGACTCAAACTATTATTAATTGCATGTGATTTATATTTTTAAAATGTCTGTATGAAAATGTATTGTTTTCTAGAAAGTGAATTATGTTACAAATTATGGAGTAGAAATACACCATGATTATGTATACGTAAAATTAAATATAAAAAAATAATTTGATCACATTTACAACCTTAATTCAACTATTTTTAAAAATCTCCAAAATCTTATAAAATGAGATTCCTAACTTGCTGATATATATTTATAACCACTAACAAAATAGCCATTTATCAAAATTATATAATAGTTTTTAATACAACAAAATCATCCTCTTCTAGGTATATCTAAATTAGAAATACAATATTCTTGTATGCAATAGTTAAAATCATAAAAATGTCTGAAATAATATTTACACCAATTAGATGTAGCTTAAATATAAACCAAAGCAAATGATATAATAACATACACTTTTACCATAAAATATCCTCTAATATGTATTTTTAAATAGGAATTAAAATCTAACTAATTAAATGTATGTAATCAACATTGATTTTAAATAATGTAAATAAACTGAAGTGACTCTTTTTTTAAAAATATCAAAATTGGTCCCTTGGTAAATAAATGCATTCAATTTTTTTCATTGAACAGCTTTCAATAATAATTTTTATTTAAACAACACCTATTGTTTGTTCATAAAATTACAATCGAACATTTCCGACTTGTGAATTAGGTAGCTCCTGACTGAAGGTTTTTTGACTAGTTACCTACTTAAGGCCAACTGGCGCAACAGATCTAGTAGTTGCTTGTTGTCTTCCTTACAAAGGGCAGATAATTTTAATAGGAGCTGCGAAAAAAAATATAACCCAACGGTTATACAGTTTGAATAAGCTGATAGATTTAACTGGAATCTCCTAACTCTGGTGCTAGACTTTGTGATCTTCTTCTTCTTCTCCCATGTAAAAAGTTGGTGGCGCCCCACCGTTTCTGTTTGTAGGTGGGCTGTCATTCTTCTCATCATGGAGGGGTGTGGTCTCTTCGCTCTCTTTATCTTTGTTGGAGGATTTGTAGTCTCTGCCGTTAGATTTTTCATGGCGCTTCTTCTTGTGACGACTGGATAAACAAGAATTTAAACAATCATTAAATTTTTAAAACCTAGTAAATAGGCATTTCCTTCTTAAAGAAAGTAGATTTATTTTTAAAAATAGCTAAATTTATAACAACAAGATGGTAAATATCAGAAAATCTACTGCATGCCTAGAAAAGTAATGTTATCTGTGGATGGTAATATTGTCTTTTATTCACAGTAATTTCTATGCAATTAATTAGAATAGTATAACAAATATTTGAACCTTTTTTCAGAAAAAAATGTCAACATTATGACATTGAATTTTTGAATAATATTATTTTGGAGAAAAACAAAAAAAGGATTTAAATTAGCAAAAATTCTATGCAAGTTTGTTCAACTAACACAACTGTTGTGTAAATAGCATGTTTATTGTGTGTCTAAGCATGCAATAGCTGTGCACATAGTGTCAAATGTAAGAATCTAAACAAACCAAGCATGCCCGTAATTCTAGCTAGCCATTCACAAACAGATGAGACACTAATTGTCAATTTTCTATTCAGTTTATTTGAACCTTAGACAAACTTAATTAATTATTATTAATAAATCTGTTTTTTATTGTAGATTATTTCTTATTTTTATTTTTTCTTTAAATCTGCATAGTAGCACTAAAAATTCTTAGAGTAAGTTAAAATATTATGTTAAAATGCATTAATTTAGCAGCTGTTAATAATTTGCTTTTTTCAAAATGCTGTAAAAACAACACAAGTAAGTTTGTGAAGAAAAAATGCAAAATTTGTCAAATTGGAGAGAATGCAAAAATAAAATAAAAATTACAAGCAAAAAGGGTGTTGGTTAGGGCTAGGTCAACTAAGGGATCTAATTAGAATTAAAAAATGATAAATGATTTCCAAAGATTGAAATCAAATCGACAGCACACACACACACAACGTAAAAAAAATATTTCTTTCCAAAAATCAGTTATGATTTTTTTTGTGTTCTTTGTAAACTAGACTCACCTATTGGGACTAAACCCACCTATCGTTAACTAGACCCACCTATTCTGGAAGTCCTCAACATCAGCCAAAGCACTCTTGGAGTCTCTCCTAATCTGCATCCAAATCCCAGTGCGGGCCACTTCCTCACTAATGTTGACTCTATCGGTATCAAGGGATCCACGTCTGTTTTAATTACATAAACAGTTAGGTCACTAATACCTTAGCCAGCCTGTCCTGATGAGCTGGCACCAGTGTGGTTCTGTTATGGGTAGTAGAACCAGGAATTCAGCAGAGAAAGGGGAAGCAACTTTTTTAACTACGACGTTTACACCAGCGGCTAGTGTATAACATCAGCCTGGTTCCACCATAAATAAGGCTCAGAGTGTCTGAATATACTGACTATAAATATGGACTAGGGTTAAGATTTGGCTGCATCCCACCAAATGAAAATATTGACTTGGATTAAAGAATTAAACTTTACAGTGACCCATTAATTGAAAATATGGACTCGTCCAGTAAATGAAAATATTGACTTGAATTAAAGTATTAAACCCTACAGCAGTCCACCAAATGAACATGTTGACTTGGATTAAAGAATTAGAGTAGTCCATTAAAAAAATATTGACTAGTCCAGCAAATGAATATATTGACTAGGGATAAAAAAAAATGGATAACATTGGAACATATTCACCTAAAGTAGAGAGATCAGAACTTGAAAGTGCAAGGGACAAACAAATAAACCTTGCTATTGAAGATGTTTAAAATACATATTTTTTTCTAAAACTTTAGTATAAATTGGCACAAATCATTATTTATAAAGAAATAATCCATGTACATTAACATTTCCATTTCATGAAATGGTAGATAAATAATACCAAATGAAATAATTAGGTGTTCAAGTGATCAGATGAATGATATCCAACAGGCAAAGTTCAGTATGTCAGAAACTGTAAGCTAATTCAATGATATAAAATCATGAACAAGAAAAGAAAAACCAAAGTGGCAACCTCCAACAATTCCATAGTTTCTTATGCTACTCTGGCAAGTCACATAATGAGATGGTAATCAATAGATGAAACCTCAAAAACTAAGTAAACTAATGTACTTTTATTCACGTTTAAATACCACACACTATTTTATCTGATGTAAGATTCAACTTCAATCATCGTAGTTTTATATAGTAGAAGCAGCAATAAAATGTATTGGCATATCTTAAAAGTCTTGAAATGCAGAGGAGAGCTTGAAGTTGATTTTTTTGAGTAGAGTGGAAATTAAGCTCAGAAACAAGATAGTGACAGAATGCAGTAACACCATTATAGAAATGGAGATTGGCATCCAATAAACTTAGGTCAATAAACACCATAAATATTTCAAATACTCAGCACAGTTGATACTCTACACCCATAGCCATTGTTTAATGTCTCTATGAAGGGAATTTTGTTTTGTTAGTATCTCAACCTAGGAATATACATATCTTATTAGTAGCCTAACCCAACCACAATATTAATATTATGCTACGGGTTTACTTAGTATTATAATCATTGCAAACTCTTACTTCATGAGCATTGATTTCAATGTGGGACTAAATAAAGAGATGGTAGTTTAATATACTGTGCTAACCAAATAAGTGCCATACTTAATGGGACATGTGCCAGAAGTGATACATCTATCACTGTGATACAAGCAATATAAATGTGTAACATGGAATAAGTGCCATAATGTTTTAAATACATGGAACAAGTGCCAGAAATGCTACAAATGAGTGATAAATTTATGTGTATAGAACACATGTCACTGTATTGATCTAGACTATGACAAATGTGACTAAATCACAGTTCAACCCTGATGCTCTTAAGCAGATTATTTTCAAAATTTATGGTAGAAAAATGTGTATGCAAATATATTTTCAAGAAAAAAAAAAGAATTTGAAAGAGAAACAGATAAAGTATAAGCTCTTAAAATAATTAAAATTTTTTTGAACCTTTGCATTTAAAATTGGAAAATATTGAAGTAAAAGTAAAAGTTTTGAAAAGAAATGGACACTGATGTAAAATTGACAGTGGATGTTTTATTCTCTACTCCAGATGACTCTGAATGGATTCACCCTCTTCCCTTTCCACCCCTCCTCCACCTTTTTTATATGAAAAAGCACCAAACATGTTAATGTTGGAGGTTAATTTAACTTATCGAGACATGTCCAGTAACAACACCCAACATGCAATCTCCCCCACCCCCCAAGCCTTTAGTCTAGTACAAAATTTCTTTCATTCCAAGACCAGACGTTACTATTGTTAAACAAAGTTAAAAAGTTTAGTAAAGGATATGGATATTCTTATTAAAGGTTTAGTATAAATAAAATACATTGTCGTAGGAGATATAATCTTATATAAAATGTCTATATAACTTAGAAACTGTATAAAATGATATAGTGCTTGTATTTTATAATGTTATAAATATTAAAAACTGATGTAATTAATACAATTATTATTTTAAAAAGCTTAGTAAATTTAAAAAAAACTAGGAGATAAAAAGACGTTTTAAAAAGGATGTAAGATAGAATTTGTGGCAAAAAATTATGTCATCAAGGTTTGATAAATAAAAGTATAATTAAGCCATGTATTATGTAAGCCAGGTAACTATTTAACAGCTGTAGGGTAAGCAGGTAATGTAAGCCCAGACCAGCGTAAGGTAAAAAGCAATTTAGCAGTTATTAGTAAGCTAGAGTAGTAATTTTCTATAATTAATGTAAGTGTGGTATACTATGCACTAAAATGTAATAACTGACTGATACATAGATCTATTTTTTTTTAATTTGAGAGATTTTAAAATAGACATAAATGTTTCAGTAAAATATACTTATTTTTATTTTTGATTTATTTAATCTACATGTGCTTTCTAAAATGGCATAAGGTTATTTTTTATGTTCAGCTACCATGTAATAAGTTTAGTGTGTGTAGAGACTTGGTACATACCTAACACCAGAATGTCTGTTTGTAAGTCTGTTATCTCCAAGTCTGTCTATCCTGATCTCCATGAGCTTGTCATAGTTTTCTTCATGAATCAGAGCATCATCCTAAACATTTGAAAAAAAATATCAAAGTAAAATAATTGCTCAGCAGGATAGATAAGTAGAAATTAAACATGGGAAATAACATGATTTTGTGTATGTTATTATAATAGTATGGTTTGGACTTGTGGTAGAACACTAGTCAGTAGAACATCCCTGAGCCCACCCAGCTCTAATGGGTACCTAACATTATAAACGTTGCAAGTAGATACTTTTAGCAGTTTGTACATAAGGCTTTAAACCTATTCCATCTTTATTTAGATAACTCAGCACCAATGCTCCCTCTAAGCTGCGCTGTTGCGCAGCAGTTTCGAGCTGCAGTGCATTGATTTTGTAAAATAAATAAATCATTGAATAAGACTTAGAAGAGCACACACAGAAAATACATTTTGCTCAGTAGCTTTTCCCCCTTAGAGGGGAAATTGCTCAGCGCCACACACACTGACATACACATGTACCTCATCATCAGGGACAGTCTGCAGCTCCTGAAGCTTCTTCTTCCTCTCATCTTCCTTCTCCTTCCTCGTGGCTTCAGGCATCAGGTCATCCAGCCACTTCAGCTCCCTCTGGGTGAAGATGTAGTCCATGGCCTTACGTACAAAGCAGGTTCCCAGCACCTGGATGTCAGATAAACAGCCAAAATAGATTGGTGTTCCATGAAATACTAACTGGAACAGATGTAGCCTACTTAAGGATTCATTGAAATCATATATACAGTACAGTACAAGTGGTAGATTCAAAATAAACCATTGTTAAGCTTGTTACTTTGTTTTTAAAATGAGTTTAGCTGGTTGTCATATTTTTTTAGTGAAGTGATAAGATTTGTAAAGAAAATTGGAATCATGCATCATTTCCAGCATTATTGTACTTCCTGGTTTGTAAGTTACTGCACAAAACAAAAAAATAGGTGTTGAGGTTGGAGTGAAGTAGGAAAGATAAATTAGCATAGCCCAACTATTTAAAAATATTTTTTAATATACTTTATATTTTTACTTTACATACATTAATATATTATGTCTATATTATTTTACAGTGATTTAGAGTAGAATATTTCTATACAGCAAGACACTGATGATAGGACACAGTAGGTGAGCAGTTGAGCTGACAACTGTTGAATCAAACAAAAAAATATCTCTCTAAAGTGGGGCAAGTAAAGACAGCTGAACATAGTGTTCAGCACATTTTTCCTTCATCTATCAAAGCAGAGAAATAGATGAATTTTACTTCACTTGCCACATAAACCATCTGGTAGAGTGTGTACTTTTTTAAGAATCAGATAATTAAATTAATTTTGAGTGTAGTTCTCTAAGAATCAACTCATTTTTGAGTAATTTTTTAAAGAATAAGATAGTTAAGCTAATTTTGAGAGCACTTTGTTTTAAGAATCAAATTATTTAGCTAAAAACATGCATAGGGTTTTCAACTCACCATGATGGGGAAGATGATTGAGACTGACTTGACGGACTTGATGACCCACAGGACGGCCAGACAGATGATCTGGATGACGGTGAAGATGTGGACACGCTTGATGGGGACGTGGCGCAGGTAGATGTAGTCTGGTTGGTACTTAGCTGGCTTAAAGAACAGCAGCAGTCTGTCAATGAACTGTAGAGGAAAACATTGGGTTAGATGTTAGGACATCGACAGGTTAAACATTTAAATTATAGAACAGCAGCAGTCTGTCAATGAACTGTAGAGAAAAACATTGGGTTAGATGTTAGGACATCCACAGGTTAAACATTTAAAACATATGAAACTCAATTGAATTGAATAGGAAAACATTTGGTAATTGTAATAAGAGTGATAAATGTAAAACATGGTTTGGATATGAAATTAATTCCAACCCTATAATTTTGTTCTAATAAAAATTCTTGGAGGCCAAAAAATAGTCCATCCAGTATTTTTCCACTAGATTTTGCTGTAAGTTGCAAGGCTAGGTTTAAATTTTTAGTGTTACAGTAAAAATTCTAGCAAAAACAGTTTTGTTATTTTCTTCTATTAACTGGAAAATTGTAATTAATTATTTTTTAAGTAATTAAATGTAACGTAATACAATCAATTAAAGCTTAAAAACTTAGTGTAATAATTTTAAAATGTCTACTGAAAATATAAAGAAATGAAATAATTAAAATAAATAATTAAAATGATTCCAGTTCATAGTGTTCCAGAGTTAAATTAAGCACAGACCTGCATGCCTTTGAGAGCAGCCACACCCATATAGAGGAAGACGCCATACAAGACAGCCATTGGAATGAACTGAAGCACATGTGTAAACAACACAGAGGTTCCACTGAGTAGACCAACCAACAGAGCTGTAACTCTTTGTTCTCTGGAGGTGAAAATTGTATGAGATTATAATAAGGATCCTTGTTAATTTATCAGGTAAAGATGAATACTCTAAAAAAATAAAAATATATATATTATTCATTTTAATGAAAGACTACTCTAGTTGAATTGACTTTAATGTAAGTATTTCGGTTTACCTTATCTATTAAAGAGTAGTCATAAAAATTAAATAATAAAACATGTTTAATAGATTGCACTGTTTCTTGTTTCAGCCATTACTATTTCATTTTTAAATTTACATATAATTTAAAAGATGATTTGGTTTTGCATGAGAGAGCTTTGAATTAAATACTTCAGGAGTACATCTTTACATAAAAAAACTGCAATAAAATGTAGTTTATGCTGCAATTCACTTTTTGACTTGGAGTGCATGAAGATCTTGCAACAACAGTTACCTCCCTTGTTTCTATATAAAGACTCAAAGACTCACCTGACACCTAGGAAGGTGGGTCTCTCCCCTGGTGCTGTACACTCAGATTCCTTCTTCAAGCTCATGACATGGGCCAGAGCAGACACAGTAGCAGCCACATACCAGGGTAGCCCCAGCAGGGAGCAGATGGCGATACAGATAGCCACAACAAACATGTCCAGGTGGTAGCCAGATCCTTTCTGTAGACCAGAGACAACACAATCAGGTATTGATAGTTTACAATCAGGTTTTGATATTTTACTATCAGGTTGAGATGACACAATCAGCTTTTGATATTTTACAATCTGCTTTTGATATTTTACAATCAGGTTCAGACAACACAATCAGCTTTGGACAATTTACCATCAGGTTTTGTCAGTTTACAATCAGGTTTTGATAACAATCAGCTTTTGATAGTTTACAATCCACTTTTGATAATTTACAATCTGGTTTTGATAATTTACAATCAGCTTTTGATAGTTTACAACCAGCTTTTGATAGTTTATAATCAGCTTTTGATAATTTACAATCAGGTTTTGATAGTTTACAATCAGCTTTGGACAGTTTACTAGCAGGTTTTGATATTTACAATCAGCTTTTGATATTTTACATTCAGCTTTTGATAGTTTTCAGATTTTGATAGTTTATAATCAGCTTTTGATAAGTTTACAATAAGCTTTTGATAGTTTACAATCAGCTTTGGGTAGTTTACAATCAGGTTTTGATATTTTACAATCCACTTTTGATAATTTACAATCAGCTTTTGATAATTTACAATCAGGTTTTGATAATTTACAATCAGGTTTTGATAGTTTACAATTAAGTTTTGATAGTTTACAATTAAGTTTTGATAGTTTACAATCAGCATATTGTGTAAGCACTTTGTCTCAGCAAATAGTAAAAAAACATATAGGGGAAACAGAAAATAGAAACACAAATGGCTATGTAAAAATTGTATTTTTTCATGTAAGATGTAATGTTTTGCTATGTTTCCAGTGTTTTTTTTTAAAGACATTTGCATAGTGCTCTTATGGAAAACCTCCCACCCCCCCCCCCACCATGATTTTTTTTTTTTTACATTTCTCCTCAATTAAAATATTTTGCATTGTACTCTTATGGAATACCTCCTTTATGCTTGGTTTTTTTTTTATATTTCTCCCCATGTTTTGTTCTTTCTTGACATTTCTCTTCTATTTAACATTTTGCATTATGCTCTTGTGGAATCCCCCACTCCCCCATTGCTTAGTTTTCAAATCTTTACTGTAGTAAACTATTCAGGAAATTACACTTGTATAGAGTTTTGTTTTCTAGTGGCAGTTTTAACTTCTAGTTTTAACTTAATGTCCTCACCTTCAGCTTATTCTCCTTCCTGTTGACAATGACGGCTGTGATCTGTTGGTCCATGAAGATGAGGATGACAGCCAGCAGGGCAGGCAAGATGGCAGCAAAGATCAGCCAGAATGGGTTCTTGTCACTGATTGGATTGATGAACCAGCCACGGTCATCTCTGGTTGGCTGAAAAAGAAAATGTTTTGATTCGAGAATTCATGAATTGGCTTGTTAAATAGCTCAGATGTATATCATAGGATATGTATTACATAATGTCACAGTCATAACACAATCGCCTAAGTCATTTTTTTGGGGTTTTAAGTTAATAGTTGAAATACAATGTTTACACATTATTCTATTATATGGCAAATCGCTTAAGTCATGACCCAATCAGAAAACTTGTTTTTTTTTAAAATTGTACCATTGTGACATAGCAGAAGTAATACTTAAAGTGATTCTGTTTTTTCCAGTTTTCTCAAAACAAGAAAACATGACTTAGGCGATTGTGTTATGAACATGACAAGAGGTTGTTTAATCAGGCATCGTGGTACAAAAAACAATATTAAACATTCCAATGCCCTCAGGTCACAACGCTACAGACAAACAGCAACTGTAAAGGCAGGAAGTTTAATTTTTGTAAAGCTAGCTGGTCAGATAATTTACATGTCTATTATTGTTGCTTTATGGTGATGTAATTCACTGCCATTTAGAATGGGTGCTGACTCAAATAATGTAAACTATACCAGATAAATTTAAAACTTCATACCTGGAACTTTGTAGGCACCAACAGTTTGGGTGTGGGAATGCCAATGAGAATGTCTGTGGTTACCATAGCAATGATGGCGATGAGAACAGCAAAGTCACTCAAAGTTTGACGCACCTGTAGCCAGAAAATAAAATGTGTGAAAATTATTTTAAAATAACTTAATTATAAATGCAGCAATTACTTAAAATACATTGATACTTTGTTGTTGTTTTTCAGTTATAGTATAAATATTATTATTTTTATAATAATAGGGCTTAAGTTAATTATATCAAGCTGAATTGTGCATCAAAGTGAAAATCAAGTGTGTTGTAGATTTTATTGTTAAATGTGAGGCCTAAAATATGTGGCAGAATAGTAAACATATCTAGACAATAAATTGAACAACTAACTCACAAAGGTAGGGAAGAAGGCACTGGTCTTTGCATTGGTCAGCGAGGAGGCGATCATGAAAGTTCCCAGGAACAAGAGAACAGACAGGAAGAAGGCATCAGGGATGAAGTGGGGTGTCTTGCAGCCCACGGTGATTGGAACTCCCCCAAAGTGTGAGCAGTTGCTGACTGGGACGGCACTCCAGTTGATGTTAGCAATACTTAGGTTGGAGAAGTCAAATGTATCATTGCCCACTGTGGAAAAGTAGTGCTAGAATAAACATTTCAGTTAAATGTATCATTGCCCACTGTGGAAAAGTAGTGCTAGAATAAACATTTCAGTTAAATGTATCATTGCCCACTGTGGAAAAGTAGTGCTAAAATTAATATGTCAGAGAAATGTATCATTGCCCACTGTGGAAAAGTAGTGCTAAAATTAATATGTCAGTGAAATGTATCATTGCTCACTGGGGAAAAGTAGTGCTAGAGTTAACATTTCAGCTAGCAAGGGGGAAAAGTAGTATAACTGTTAAGTTTAATGTATCACTGTGAAAAGAATAGCTAGCAGTAATTTAGATATACAATCTTGTTACTCGGTGGGTTGACTATGCAGTTATTAGAAATAATATTTATGTACATTAATCCATATGGGTTAGTATAAGAATAACATTATAATTTGTTGTGGGTTTTCTTATGTGTTGTTTACAGATACATCACTGATACTTTTAAAATTCTCGACATAAGAGCTCTGCTTACATGTTATATTCTGAGTATCATCCAGAATGAGGTAGTGTAGGATGGTATCCTTGATGCTGGAAGAGTTGGTAAAGTCAATCATGCTGATGTTGACCTCAATCTCAGAGCTGTTGGGTGCTAGACAGGTGCAGGTGTAGTTCAAGATGGCGTCTGGGTCAAAGTTCACTGGGGCATCTTTGAGAACCTCTGTGATTAAAAAATAGAATATTTTAAAATAGACATTTTTTAAAGTATATTTTCTCTATATTTATTCATGTTGAAAATACTATATAACATATAGCACAAATAATATTGATTGGTGAAACATACATCTTCTTTACTTTTACATACATAACCAAAAATTTAATTCTGGGAGTGTGCAATAATAATACAATAATATTTTGCAAAGAATGCATCCCACTGTATGTACTATAATCACAGAGTTCATGTTTAAACTGAAATGATTTTGTTGTTGCCTTAAGCCCGGCATCTTAGCTAGAACATGAACAGAAGATCTGTGAAGACTTGGGAACACAAAGTTGAGCCCAGGAACTGAACTCAAACCTTTCAGATGAGTAACTGTCTGCTCTACCAATGTACAATGTTCTTCTTCTTCTTCTTCGTTCTTAATTATTAGTGTTGAAGGGGTTCGAGATTTATCTGCCAGTGGGTTTGAACTCGAGACTTTGTTCAAATTTATCAACCATGAGCTTTTTGCCGACTCGACCGCGCCTCCAACACAATTAAGCGGTACGTGTCAACTGGTTATGCGCCATTGAGGCCATTGACTCCGATTTCAGCCTGCTTTTCTTTTTGGATTTGCTTCCACAGCCTTTGTCCAACCAAGAACAAGCTACAAGGCAGCAGTTGTTTGATTTTGGAATTCTCTCTCCTAGAAGAGTAGCTGTCCCCAGCTAACAAGCCTCATCTGCCCGAGGGTTCGAACTCGAGACTTTTCGGTTTAGCAACCATGAGCTTTACCGACTCGACCACGCCAACCCCCTGTACAATGTTGACTCAGATAAACTTCCAAGAGAAAAGCACTACAGCCATGTCAGTTCAAATCTTATAGTTAAATACATTGTGTACCGTCCAACTTACACAACCAGCAACTCTTTGTCTTTACCATACAGCAATGTTATATAAAAGGTGCACCATACACATATTGAGGTAATGCATACTATACAGTAACATAAAGGAAGCACCATACAAAGACTGCAGTACATGCCAACACATACAGTAACATAAAGCAAACACCATACACAGACCTCAGGACTTACCAATGAGCTTAGTGAAAGCCTCCACAATGAAGATGACAGCGATGAGACTGGCAAAGCTTTCCTCTGTGAACCTGGTGATGTACCGCACCAAGGCTGAGAGGTCAAAGGCCACGATAAGCATGAGAAGGAAAGCTGTCCACAGACCTATCCAAGCTCTAAAGGGGAGGAAATCTAGCTCTTGTTCCCTGGAAATAAACAAAACAAGATTATGGTTCTTTGGAAGAAAAATTAAATATTTGTTCTACAATTAATATTTTAATTTTTGCAATAATTAGTTTTATTCTCTAAAATTAATGTAATAAATATTTAAAAAATGGCAGGTAATATTTAAGCAGGATTTTAAACAGGATCGTGGTTCTTCATTTAAAATTTGTTAGATAAATAGTGTTTTAATTAAATTATTGTTTATTTCTTTGCTTTTATCCTCTACGACTGATGTAATAAAAAATCTAAAACAAGGTAGCTAAAACTTGTGCAAGATTTTATACAGGATTTGGGCTCTTTGGAACAATTACGTTTCAAATTTGTTACACAATCAAAATTTATGTTTCATGCTTTAATTACACTTTGGATCCTCTACAACTGATGTAGCAAAGAAACATAAGATGTTAACTAATATTTAAGCTTGAGGGCTGCTGAAGGGCAGATAACCTACTTGCAGAAGTGGTAGAGGATCATCTCCAGCACCAACATGGGACCGGTGCTGCCCAGGATGTTCAGAGGTTGGCCAGAGAACAAGGCAAACAGGACGCCAACAATGGACGCTGTCAAGATACATTCCATGGTCCCCTGTAGAACAGTGGACAATTTTGTGTATTTGTGAATCTTCCTATTTTCATTCAATTATTTTGGTCAATGGAAATTATATTGTTGTATACATTTATTAGCTATGCCAATGGCAACATATTGTAGATCCAAATATGATTTTATAGCATTAAAGGAATTTTTCTAATAGATGGGGAATAATAGATAAAATAAGCATTACATATACATATATATATATATATATATATATATATATATATATATATATATATATATATATATATGTGTGTGTGTATACACACACAAATATTTTGTTTGATTTGTTTCAATAAAAATATACAATACCAAATTAAATATAAAGGTTAAGCTAAATTTATTCTAACTTTCCATTTTAAAATTATCAATTTTCATAAAGAGAATAAAATATTTTTTTAAGCATTATTATAATTCTAAAGCCCATAATTGTGAATCTAATAAAAGTTGAAGATTTACCATGTACTGGTCAGTGGCCTGACCCAGCAGTCCACCAAAGGTCACATTGGGTGTAAGGGTGGCCAGATAAAGAAAGATGACTGAGGCCACACATTGGATGTGAAGGGAATCCTTGAAGTCACTGGCATACCACGGCAGTTTTCTTTTGATGTCAGCAACTAGACCTCCAAACAATCTGTTTTATACAATACAAATTGATAAAACATTATTTAAGATAAATAAATAGTGGCGAAATTTGTTGATAATAGCATAATGAATTTTAATTTATAGAGGACATTTTCTTTCTATAATATTCTGCATATTTAAGGGTTTAATATAATTAAATTTTGAATGATTGATTGCAAAAGGGCATTTTTGCTTTTGTTTTCTTAAATAGGGCATTTATTTAGGTTGATAAAGAAGGACCACATGTACATTATAGCAGAATAAAACATACTTCCTTGAAATATGACAAAATTCAGGTGTATAAGTAAAATTAGTTTGTATTTGTGCATTTATCTGTTTGCACTTTTTATTGATTGCCCATTTTTTTAGGATCCTCATGAATTACAGTAGTATAATCAGTATGGATAGTATTTATGTCCTATGAATGATATGATGACAAAACATCATTAACATAAATGGTGATTATGGGCATTGCTACTGAATAGCATCACTGTTAATTGTTGTCATAGTTGCGGTTGCTAAGCAACATCACAGTAGTCATTATGGATATAGCTATGGTGAGGAGAATTGCAAAATTACACTGATCAAAATAAAATAAAAGTTATCTCCCCTACCTGCCAGAGCGCTGTAGAGTAGGGTCACAGTGTGACTCTTCTTCCTCCTCTTCCTCTTCTGCTATCTGACCCACAGGAGGCTTGGGTACTTTACGCTGAGCCTAGAGATTATGGGTTAGACAGAACGTAAGTTGTAAAGCTAATTTCAAATGTTAAGCATTCATTATAAGGTGTACAAAGAGAAGTTTAGTTTCAACTTTACTGGTTGTTGTACATTTATAATAAGCAACACCAGTCCATGACACGAAACATTTACTTTTTAAATTTATTAACATTTTTATTACACAGGTTTAGTTCATTAAAAAAAGAAATTCACATTTTATACTTCATCAAATTTACTTTAAAAAGAATTAAATATTTTTTTTTCTTTATAGATCAGGAAACAATTTTTTTTTCAAAACATGATATTTTGTTACACATATGATTGACTCACCTGTGAGGGTACACTCTGTGGGGGTTCTATCCGAATCTTGGGGTCCCACTCCCCAGGTGGCAGGGCAGTCACCTGGTCAAGGAACTCGTCCACCCCAGCCAAAATGTCCTGCCTGTTCCTGGCTTTATAGGCTACCTCCCGAAACACCTGCACAATTTTAATAACATTTTATAACATTTTAACTATCTCACTTTAAGGTATTGAGCTGCATCTAAATGAAATTATAAAGCTGATTTTTTAAAAGAAATAGCATGTGTTTAAAACTACCTTTTTATAAAAAAAAAAAAAAATTAGAATATAATAATAGGCTGCAATCTAGGTTTAAAAATTTATTGTCAAAGACATTTGCTTAATTAATTAAAACTTACTACAAAATTATTCTAATTTAACAGCAATAATGCTATTAAATTATTCTAATTAAACAGTAATAATGCTATCAAATTATCTTAATTTAACGGTAATAATGCCATTGAATTATCATAACTTTACATTAACAATGCTATAAAATTGTTTTAATTCAACAGTAATAATGCCCTTTAATGATCATAATTTAAAAGCAACAATGTTTTTGAAAAATCCTAACTTAACAGCAATAATGCAACTGAAACTAATTATTTATTGTTGTATTAAGGTACAGTATTAAAGTGCCATAACCCCTAAACCAACATTTTAGCTGATGTTTGAACAATTAAATCTATCTACATATTAGACATATCTATTGAATCCTACAACTTATTGGACAAGAACAGAATCATTCAGGTCTAACACTGAATGCCCCAGCTAGTTATTAAAACTAATGTAAAATAAATTAGCTCTAGTCTTAAGTCATGTAATTAGTTCCAGCCCTCACCTCATCCACCATGATTGTTGACATAGACCTGCCAATCTCCACATTCTTCTGCTGGCTGCCAGGTGGACCAAAGAGTATAAACATGAACCTGGTGGGGATGGGGACTTCTGTGATGTCACCAATGTTCCTCCCTTCACACAGGCGGATAAATGCAACCACCTGTTTAACAAACATATAATCATCAGCAACTTTATTGTTTTTTCATAGCAAAAAAAAAACATTTTTTAAAATTAGAAGTTAGAATTAGGTTCATAATGCAGTGATAATGACAATAAATGAAATGACAGAAAAAAAAAAACAAAAAAAAAAAAAAAACTTTATAATTGCTTGATATTAGAAACAATAAACAATATGACAAAAAATTGATGATATTTACTTGATAATTGAGACAAATTGTAAGACAAAAATTGATACTTACTTTATAGTTGAAACAATAAATGACATGACCAAAAAACTTGATATTTATTTGATAATTGAGATAAAAAACAATATGACAAAAAAAAACACGATATATTTACTTGAAATTTGAGACAACAAACAATATCATAAAAAAACTTGATATTTACTTGATAATTGAGACAATAAATGGCAGAACAAAAAAACTTGATATTTACTTTATAATTGTGACAATAAATGACATGACAAAAAACTTGATATTTACTTGATAATTGAGACACTCCAACTCCCCCACCAAAATGTTTGCTGCCTCTGCTCCTGCTGGAATTTTTCTCATGAAATGTTCATTCAACTGGAACAAAGTAAACATTCATTGTTCATTCAACTGGAACAAAGTAAACATTCAATGTTCATTCAACTGGAACAAAGTAAACATTCAATGTTCATTCAACTGGAACAAAGTAAACATTCAATGTTCATTCAACTGGAACAAAGTAAACATTCAGTGTTTATTCAACTGGAACAAAGTAAACATTCAGTGTTCATTCAACTGGAACAAAGTAAACATTCAGTGTTTATTCAACTGGAACAAAGTAAACATTCAATGTTCATTCAACTGGAACAAAGTAAACATTCAATGTTCATTCAACTGGAACAAAGTAAACATTCAATGTTCATTCAACTGGAACAAAGTAAACATTCAATGTTCATTCAACTGGAACAAAGTAAACATTCAATGTTCATTCAACTGGAACAAAGTAAACATTCGATGTTCATTCAACTGGAACAAAGTAAACATTCAATATTCATTCAACTGAAACAAAGTAACATTCAATATTCATTCAACTGTACCAAAGTAAACATTCAATATTCATTCATGCGGAACAATAAAACATTCAATTTTCACTCAATAAAAACTATCTGGTGGTTCAACTTGTAAAACAGTTACACACATTTTAAAACTATATTTGTTTGTAAAGGCCTATTATCGTGTGTAGTACTATATTGACTAATGACTATATTCAAAAGACAGCAGTACTTCATACATCACATAACAAATTACTACTAAAGCAAATATAAACAAAACATCATGCTGTGAATACAATATTTGGACAATAATAATTTGTCCAGTAAAATAAAAAGGTGTGACACAATGACAAAAAGTATGCAGTAAGATTCACATATTAAATCAAATATATTTACAAGATGATAATGAGGAAATTGTTAGTGGTATATGTTACAATTGAGTTTTTATATGGGTGTTTTCTTAGGCTTGTTAACACAACATATAATATAATTATACTCAAGAGTTACATTTTTTTCATTACACATTCAACTATTATGATTTTTAAACTTCAAGACTGGAGGGATGTCAGCAAAATTAAGAGGTGCTAAAGGGATTCAAATTCTACATAACTACCAGGTTGTAATTTTTGTTTATAATATAAGAAACTTTAATACACAATAAAATCTCCATCCCCCTCAAAATCATAAAACAATAATAACTGGCATGACAGATGCGGTGAAAAAACAAAAATTATGAAAACTCATTTGTGTACCAGGATGTTTTAATTTGGTAGAGTTGACTGGGAATAGATTGGTCTATGTGTAGTCTGCATTTTCATGAGCTACATGGGACTCTTTACAACACATTTATTATTGAGTAGGGAAATCATATATTTTAGCTAACTGTTGTTTTAATCTATTTTTTGTTGCTGTAAATTTAGGGTAACATAATGTAAATACAATATACATTTCAATATGCAATGTAATATTGTACAGGATATATGATTTTTTATTTGGATTTGATAAAAGTTGCCTGCCTTTGTTTTAAAACGTAAGATGTTTTAACATAATTAAAAGTAATTGTTGCTAATTAAGATTGTTTCAGATCTAAATAATATCATGTGATACTTAAGTAGAATTACATCACTGGTACAAAATAAGTTTCAGGTAAAAAAAAAATGAAACATAAAATCAATTCAGATGCACAGTAATTTGCCAACAAGATCACCTGGACAACAAAACCATGTGACAAACCTTGGATAAAAGACTGTTCTGGCGACTTATCTGGCTAATCTGTTGCAAATATAAATGTGATCTATGCTAATCAAAGCTGAATCTACAGTGGCTACCATACTGTGAGGACATACATATTACTCTTATACACATGTGGTTCTATATATTTGGAGTATTTCATAAATGACATCACACTCCTTGAGTAGGAGGGAAGAGTTTGACTTTTTTAGAAATATGTGATAAGGAGGTGGAGTTGTCCATAAAGTGTGACATGAATGGTTTGAATTAAAAAAATATTTTAAACAAAATGAATGTTGCAGTTATGTTGTGTTGTAAATTGTATAATTAAAAATAGATCAATGTACCTAATTTTGACACAACTAACATTTTTAAACGGAAATTTGAATATTTAAAAATTGGAATATGAAGGCATTGTAAGTGTGAAGTTGAATGTGTGATATTTGGGAAGGGGGGGGGGTAGTAAAGATTGTTTATAAAGGCATGATGACATTTATGGATGACTCCTAACTAAAACAAAACTTTCATAACTGGATTTAAATTAAAAAATTGAAGTTTTTAATCAAACTTAAGAGAATAAAAATGTTGCGATTTTACTTGCTGATGAAAGCAACATATATAAGGGACTATTACAATTCACTACACATTTTGGATTCTAAAGAACTAGTACACATTATACACAATTTAAAAAAAAAATCCATTTAAAACAAATGTGAAGTGATATTTATTACAGTGTAAGAATACAAATTTCCTTCTGATTGTAAGTAAAATCTAAAAGTGAATGTTAAATTAGAGATTTAGACACAAATAGATTTGGGTACTCACTCTAGTGGAAGATGGGGATTCTGACAGGTCACCATTCATCATTTCAAGGTTAGGCTGGCTGTTGGGATTAGCTCTTAATCTGGCCTGGTTCAAGGCATCTAAAAATAGAAATTTGTTTAGCATAATTTTTTTTAGCACACCTACAGTTATATTTCAGGAAGGAATGGTCAAAAGATTTGAGTTCAGGTAACTGGGTTTAAGTGTGTGATGTTTTTAAGTCCATACATTTTAGATAGGTATCTGACTCACGTTAAGGAAAGGTGGTAGACCTCAGTATACCTTCATATAGGCCTACCAAGCTCATAGAAATAGGCGAACTCTACTTCACCATCCCTATTGACCCTTAGGTTTGGAAGGCTAAATAATATATTTTACAGTTATTTTAATTTAAAAAATAAATTACCATCAACAAACCATGAACATACCATTTTTTGACTTCATGGAGAAAGTGCGACCAATCTCAGAGAAAGTCCTCTTCATGGAGAGTTTCCGGAACATTGCCTGACCACCGTCCAGGTCTGGGGTGGTGGAGACCTTCCTGCGAGGCTTTTGGTGCTGGAAGCAGTGCTGGGCCATGATGGCCAGCCTGACCTGGTCGCGGAGAGATTCCTCCAGCTGCTTCTGGCTGATCAGGTTGTCTATGAGCAGGTCTGTGTCAAATATTTTTTAAAGTTTTTTATAAGGGTTATAATAATAATTACCGCTGCCCATAGCACATCTTAATAAAATATTAAATAATGTTACTTATAACATAGGCAGCTGATTTGTGTGAAATAGTAATCTACATTGTCCATATGCTAATTTTTTTTAGTTCATTATAAAGGGTGTAATAATTATTTACATTGTCTACACGCAGAACAACTAAGATAATATTAATTTATGTTGTCGAAAATGTAAGCAGCATATCTATGAAATACTAATTTAAACTTTCGATATGCTGCATTTATTTGTAAAATATTAATTTATGTAATATATAATGTAAGCAGGAGATCTTCTGTAAAATATTAATTTAGATACTCTATATTCAAAACATGTAAAATATTTAATTTATTAATTTTAAAGGAGACAGGTATAAAAGAATAATCTGGGTGGTCTTTATGTGTAAAATATTATTAGAAATTGTTTATAACAAGATCTCTGTAAAACACATTGAAATGATGTGTAAAATATTAAATAAAACCCATCTTTAAGGAAAGATATAAACTGCTGTGAGTTGACTAATAAAAAAATTCTCTACCTGCAACCTGCTGAATGCTAGTAGCATCCATCTCCAGCATACAGGCACCTGTGGTCAAGCTGCTCCTCAGCTCAAAGAGGGAGTGGAGGGAGAGGGAGGCCACGTGAGGCTTGGACCACCTCATGCCTCCCTCCTCTACATCCTCTTCATATTTCACCCATCTGAGAGAGCCAATGATGATACAGTGAGTACGGAGGTACAATTTTTCTTTAAAACAAAGTACTTGAAATTTAAATGAATCTAGTAAATTGATTAACAATTTCATTTTTTTTTTAAAGTTGTTTTTCAAAATATTTTTTAACAACACATTTATAAATAGCAAAAAAAAAATAATAATTATATCTACATATTGAATATAGCAATACAGTTTCTGTGTATTTATTTTTATTTTATTTTATATTTATTTTCCTGAGCTTTCTACAAAAAAAATCTATTCATAGATTACTGGCAGTACTATTACCACACACCACATCCACACAATAGTATAACAACTGCACACAATAAAACCTAACAACACACAATAACAAAAATAACACCATCACACCCACATAAAAAAACCTCCACACACAAAAACCCATCACCACACCCACACACAAAAAACCTAACACCATCACACGCAAACCCCACCCCACATTCCTCCCCACCTTGCAGTCTCCCTCCACTGGTAAATCTCCCCCATCTTGAAGAGGACATCCATCTCACAGAAGACATCATGGGAAGTGTGTGCCGGGTCCTCAGCTTCACTCAACAGTGACTGTATCTGCTCACTTGGTGTAAGGCTTGCTACAATACACAAAGGGAAGTAATTGAGTCATTTATGCAGACAGAGTTATCCTTCTTAATAAGCGTCATGCATTTTATTTACTGAAATACTAAAACAAGAATGAAAATTTGAAATTTATTAACATGAATATGAAATCATGCATTTCATTGATTGAAATAATAAACATAAAGAAAAAGTGAAGTTATTTGTTTAAGTGTATATTTGTATTATTTTAAACATTTACAATTTTTTGAAGACACTGTGAAGCTAATAAAACAGTTACAGTTACATAAATACAACATCATATTTTTATGAACTATTTATCGCATAAGTAATATGTAGCAAATTGTTAAATAGCTACTTCTTGTGTTAAGATTAAGACATATATAACTTTAACAGAATTACTTTAAAATGTGCCTGGATTTAATTATCAAAGCTGTCATACGAAATAAGCTTAAAAATTAAGAAGCTTAAACATGGTGCTCTCCTTGCTGGCAAAATTAAAATAATAAACCACGATTCCAAAATTAGGTTGGAAAAAATTGTAAAATTTAAAAAAAAACTTCTACACAATCTCATTTTAAAGTGAACCTTATTTTCTAATAAATGTGGAACTAAAATGACAACTAAACGATGTATGCAGAAGAATCATTATAATAGATTAAAATGGTCTTTACTATAGCATCTGTTTGTTAAGTTTAAGGCAAATGTTAAACATTATTAATTTATGCTGCTATCAATTATAAAATATGATATTTTAAAGAGCGGAATATTTGAAATTTAGATATGAGAATATTAGCAATTGAAATTATTTTACACATTTGTTGTACTATTATGAAAATAAATGTTATTTTGTAGCATTATTTTCAATTAAAAAGCAATTATATAAATATAACACTGTTATAACTAATGGCATTATTTTATTAGCTTTTATACAAAAACTATTCTAGTTAGGTAAGCTATAGTTTTTTTACAGCTAAAACTTAAAAATAGAAATTATAATTAGGTGACCAATGGCATGGCTGACAAAATGAAAAGATGTGAAAAGGGTTAGAAAAATAAAAGAAGGGTGCATTTGATGTTAAGACATGCCCACAGAACACTCAAACACAGATAGGGTATTTAAAATGTCTTACAGTTGTTGTAGAAGCCAGGTAGGCCTAAGTTACAAAAAGGACAAACCAAAATAATTTTATTTAGGCTTGGAATATAACATACAGAACTTGTACCATAATTTTTTTTCAACAGTTAATAAAAGTATAATTGAAATGAATTTATTAATTAAAACACTTTTATCATTTTCCTGCTTATCCTATAGATAGAAAGAAAAACAGATAATCTTGTAGGTATAGAATATATACATTTAGTTTGAAAGATGTTTGTATAGTTTGAAATATGCTTGAATTTTTTTGTAGTAACAGATTTGTGAGCAAAGTTGTGTTGAAAGAACTAGAGCTAAGTGAAGGACTAAAAGAAAAATATTATATTTTTTTAAAATTTAGGTCTATTTAAAAAAAAAACAACAACTAAAAATTAACTATAAAATATTTTCACATTGCATTTCTTAAGTACCTTCCCTGATATCATGACTTAATAAAGAACATGAAGACCCGTCTATTAATACAACACCGCTAAACATGCTTGCAATAAACCAATAAAATATATGATGCCTTTAAAAACATTTATTGTTATAGTACATATATATATCATAGCTAAAACAATCACCTTATGCGATGATATCTAATAACATTCATAATAATGTTATATGTTTTCTATCAAGAACAACCACCATAATTTCAACAGTTTTAATCACAAATCACATGATAAAATAAAAAAAATCCATATCCCAACATAAGAACATATAATACACAACACCTTGCCAGTTGCAATTAGTTTTTTCCCTAAAATTTTACAATTATAGTTCACCTGCAAGCAAAATTGATTGCTGAACTGCAGTAACTGTAATAACAACACAATCACATTTTATACTGGAGAGTTAGCGTTGCTTTTAGATTTGATTTTCCTTATTCTCATTAAATCAAGTTTTGCTCATTTTCAATTTATTTTTTAAAAATATTTAGGTTATTAATTTAATAACCTAAATATATTTTAATTTAAAATAAAATAGTAAAAAAATGAAAAGGGTTTACATTTTTTTTTTAAAATTGCAGTAAAAAAAAGTGAAGCTTAAAGAAATCTTCAACTTATGTTTGACGTAATGTTACTAAACATGGCTGACATACAAGCAGGGAACCCTTCATCCCAAGACAGTCAATGACAAAAATGGCTTTTAAATACAGAGATTGCTTATATTAATCTGAACTGATGTTTTGTAACTCTTATTGGTTTGAAGTTTAAAAATCAACAAATTCTACATTAAAGACATTTAACTAGAATATTTCAGTAGTTTTACAGAAAAGTTTAATACTTTATTAAGGCATTAATAAATCATGCCAAGTCTGCTATAGACATACGTGTTAATTTTAAATTATTTTGAAGACTCCTATATGTGTCGACATGTCCAACAACATCTAAAAACTTACGAGAAGTTAACCGGACCAGTTCCTGGACAACATTTTTTGCTAAAACTGCCAGTACAGAAAATATTACATTTACCCAGCATACAGAACCCCATCATTCTATGTTATACGTCTGTATTTTTCACATTTAAATTTTATTTGTCTAAAATTCACTGCAATAAAAAGTACTAAATGAATAATATTTCTTTAGCAGTTTCATTATATACTTTGATAAGTAATCTAGAAAAAAAAAAAAAAAAATTTTTTTGTTTAATATGGTTCCTTTAAACAGGGGACAAAACTTTGAACTGCTCAAGCAAAAATGAGTAGCGGCCCTGGAAAACAGAGGATCAGTACAACCAGACAAACAGGAAATCTAACACAAAACAGAACAGTAAAAGTTACTTCACATTGCAAGTCTGCTTCTACTCAGTGTCAAAACATTTAACTACTTGCTACAGACAAATTATTGATTTCTCAAAAGTAGACTCAAAAAAATTACATAAAACAAGAAAAAATAACAACACAACAAACTGAAAGTTCTGGTTTATGAAGGGGGTTGAGGTTTTGTTTATAAAGGGGGTTTATGTTCTGGTTTATGATGGGGATTTATGATGGGGGTTTATGAAGGGGGTTTAAATTCTGATGGGGATTTATGATGGGGGGGGGGGGTTATGATGTGGGTTTATGATGGGGGTTTAAGATAGTGGTTTAAGTTCTGGTTTATTATTTGGATGTAAGTTCTGGTTTATAAAATGGGTTAAAGTTTTGTTTAGGAAAGGGTTTTATGATCGGGTTTACGATGGGGGTTTGAAATGTTGGTTTAAATTCTGGTTTATGACTGAGGTTAAGATGGAGATCTATGATGGGGGTTTAAGTTCAGATTTAAAAAACGGAGTAAAAGTTCTATTTTATGAAGAGAGTTAAAAGTTCTGGGGGTGTAGGAGGTTGAACTGTTTGTATTACCTGGGCCAGGGGAGAAAGCATCAGAAACTGGCTGAGAGTTGGGCACTGCTGTCTTATCGCCATGGTGACGTTTGGATTTGTGTGGTCTTCTTGGCCGTTTGGGAAGCCGCAGACCAATATATGCAGAGTCGTATCGATGTTGGAATGCTGCAAAATAGAAATTATATTGTAGAGAGGATACTTTATGACAGGGTATAGAGTACATGTACGTATAGAACACACTATTTTATAAACTGTTGAGTTCATTGCTTGACTTAAATTAAAGTAGGGCTTATAGGCCTTGGCTTGTTAGAATAACAGAATAGGAGATTTTTCTTTGCTTGATTTTTGTTTTAGTTTATTTCCTAATAATTAATTTTTGTTTTCTTTGTTGCAATACCATTACTAGACATGTAGGCATTATTAGAGATAAATAGATAATAAGAAGAATCATTTAATATTAAATTAACAGTAGACTAGACAATTTGTTAGGAAAATTAAGACTGGCCAACAATAAGTAAAGTTACATTATTATAGAAAGAATCTAGACTAGTAGAAAATCTAGTAGATAATGCAATACTGACAATAGTAATAAGGGTCATCCATAAATGACATCATGATTTTTTTTCACGACTTTTACCTCCCCCCTCCCCTCCCTCACACGGTCCTAGGACCTTTGACCACAGGTGCTTTGACCATAGGGGGTTTGACCATAGGGGGTTTGACCACAGCGGAGCTTTGACCATAGGGGCTTTGACCATAGGGGGTTTGACCACAGCGGACCTTTGACCATAGCGGTGCTTTGACCATAGGGGGTTTGATCATAGGGTGTTTGACCACAGGTGTTTTCTCAGCAGGGGTCTTTGATCACAGGTGGTCTATCAACTGGTGTTTGATCACAAGCGCTGTGTCCGAGGTCGTCGCATCCGTCGCACACGATTGGCGATGGTGTAGCACGAACAAATAACATTTGTGAAGGATGGCATTACAGTCTTCAGTCTCTCCTCCAATGTAGTCACCCAACAATGTGGCGTTTCCTTGAAGGTCTACAGATGGACTGCACACGGCAAAAGACAACTTTCTTGCAAGGTGTCGCAGGGGCAAGCTACCCAGCTAAGAAGCGATACAAGATGCTGCACGAAAAAGTACAACGTGCTGTCCAGACATATGGTCAAACAGATGTACTGACATATTTGCGTGCTATAGCACATCTGTCATTTAGTTAACCATTTTTGTATTACATCTTTGAATATATTGTTGGCAACCTTTGTATCATTTTCTATCCTTTTATCCTTTATATATGCTATGTATTTTCAAGTACATCTACATTATTTATTTGTGAAACTTGTCATTTGTCGCATTATTTGTGTTTCATTTATATTTAAAATAAATCTATGAGGCCTAGCACCAGCCTTTATGAGGAGAATAAAATATAGTTCTTGGCTTTTTTTAAAATACATGTTAATTTCTATTAACGTACTCTCAGGAAACATGTATAAAATCGTGTTAATTGTATCACACCTATGATGAAAGCCGGACACAGCGCTTGTGATCAAACACCAGTTGATAGACCACCTGTGATAAAAGACCCTCTGCTGAGAAAACACATGTGGTCAAACCCCCTATGGTCAAACCCCCTATGATCAAACCCCCTATGGTCAAAGCACCGCTATGGTCAACGGCCCGCTGTGGTCAAACCCCCTATGGTCAAAGCCCCTATGGTCAAAGCTCCGCTGTGGTCAAACCCCCTATGGTCAAAGCCCCTATGGTCAAAGCACCTGTGGTCAAAGGTCCGCGCACCCCTCACACATCCTCACAAAAAGCCAGACACCCACCACCCTACTTAAAATGATGTAACACCTCAGCCTACACCCCCCCCCCCTCCCCACCTCCCTCCAAATTGCAGTTGAACTTTTCTTAAAATATGATATTTTTCCAAAATCTTGTCTGAACTCTGTCAACATAGAGTACTTTAAACAATTCCTATTACAATTTATTAAAACAGTTTTCTAAAACGCGAAATAACAGCTAAAATTCAATTTCTAACATTGCTTTTTTATAATGCATAAGTGTGACAGAACACCATCTAAACCCCCCCCCCCCCCCTCATCACACACCTTCACAAAATTACTGACTCCCCTCCCCCCTACGAGTGTGACGTCATTTATGGACGACCCCATAGATCTACAATCTACACTATTAGGAAACAAATAGAGATCAAGATTATATTTCTTCAAATTTAAATAAAAAAATCATTAAAAATTAAAATTATAGGTGTAGGCCTAATTTTTTTTTGGTCCAAATTACTAAACCATGCTGATGGAATGTGTTGTGCATTACAAGATCTAGCATTTTAAAGTAATTCCATAGAATTAATATTAATAATAATAACATTAGCATTTGTCAAAACCATCTAGATCCAGATCTTGAAAAAATAAATTCTAAACTTAAGGAACAATAACGCTTACCATCGCTGTCAATAACATTCTCGTTAATCTCCCTTCGCGCCCCGAGATCTCTTTGTACAGGAGTCGCTTCTGGTAGGGTCAGAGAGTGACTTTTTTCCATCGTCTATTTGTACGTAGGCGTGAAGATAACAAGCTTGAAAGACTATTGGGACGGAATAGAATTTCCTTTAAAAAACACAGCTCTGAAACAATACAATTTTAAAAGTCAGTCCACGAAGGTGAAAATGTGAAATATTCCTTAATGTTATAGACGTAATAAACTCTAACAAACGCATAGTTTACAATATGCGAGTTTATTAAAACAAATTTAAATTAAATTAAAAACTAGAATAAAAAACACTTATAGATAATGTACATGCATATTTAACAAAAGCACTACGATCATTAATTCCTTAATGCAATTGGCTAAGCACTGGCCCAAAAGGAATCGGTAATTCACTAATTACTAATGAATAATAGGCCGAGTGGTAAACAGGTTTCGACCGAAATAATCTGCGCGTGAACTCCGCTGGCCTGTTGCCCATAGACATCTATAATTTACACGTGCTGGTGGGAGGGGTCTCAAACTGTGACAGGGGTCATAGACTATAATTTACAAGTGCTGGTTGAAGGGGGTCTCAAACTGTGACAGGGGGTCATAGACATCTATAATTTACACGTGTTGGTGGGAGGGGTCTCAAACTGTGACAGGGGTCATAGACATCTATAATTTACACGTGCTGGTGGGAGGGGTCTAAAACTGTGACAGGGGGTCATAGACATCTATAATTTACACGTGCTGGTGGGAGGGGTCTCAAACTGTGACAGGGGTCATAGACATCTATAATTTACACGTGCTGGTGGGAGGGGTCTCAAACTGTGACAGGGGTCATAGACATCTATAATTTACACGTGCTGGTGGGAGGGGTCTCAAACTGTGACAGGGGTCATAGACTATAATTTACAAGTGCTGGTTGAAGGGGGTCTCAAACTGTGACAGGGGTCATAGACATCTATAATTTACACGTGTTGGTGGGAGGGGTCTCAAACTGTGACAAGGGTCATAGACATCTATAATTTACACGTGTTGGTGGGAGGGGTCTCAAACTGTGACAGGGGTCATAGACATCTATAATTTACACGTGCTGCCGGGAGGGGTCTCAAACTGTGACAGGGGTCATAGACATCTATAATTTACACGTGCTGGTGGGAGGGGTCTCAAACTGTGACAGGGGTCATAGACATCTATAATTTACACGTGCTGGTGGGAGGGGTCTAAAACTGTGACAGGGGGTCATAGACATCTATAATTTACACGTGCTGGTGGGAGGGGTCTCAAACTGTGACAGGGGTCATAGACTATAATTAACGTGTGTAGGCGAGTTCTCAAACTGTGACAGGGGTCATAGACTATAATTTACACGTGCTGGTGGGAGGGGTCTCAAACTGTGACAGGGGTCATAGACATCTATAATTTACACGTGCTGGTGGGAGGGGTCTCAAACTGTGACAGGGGTCGTAGACTATAATTAACGTGTGTGTAAGTGAGCTCTCAAATTGCCAAAGAAATCTTCAATGTAGTGAATGATGAAAGGAGTCAAATTGTGATAATAATTTTTACATAGTTTTAAAATTCTAAACGACTTGGTAGAGCAAAATAGTCAACATATTTACAACATACCAAAAATAAGGAAACTCTAGGTCCTTATCGCATGTTCACTTTTTCAATTAAATATTTTACCGTTTTAGACAATTTTCAACACAATTTCTTGTGGATATCCACATACACATTCTGATTCTCGTAAAACGTTCGACATTTTCAATAAACTATCCTTAAATATAAGAAAACACATCCAATTGCAAGCTGAAAATACAATTTGTTTTAACGGAACAACTACGCGGTGACCGAGAAACCATCTTCGGCGTGTAGACAAAAATTCATCATGGCAACTAGATCTAGATCCGTTAGTATAGGTTTTCTAGTGGCATGGCGTGTACTGTACGGTATCCGTATCTATAACTAGCCGCCAATGCCAACTTGACGTGGAAGAATACTAACGCTAGAGATTATGACGTGCGTGGATTAGGGGTCGTCCCTTTCTAAGGTCATGCCTTATCATTATATGTCGCCTAAAAACGCCAGATACCCCCCCCCCCTTCCACGTAAAGCTACGGACATCTAGAATGAACTGATTTTCTATTAAATTTTCAACACGTTTTTAATCATTTTATTTTATTTTTAAGACACAAAACCTATTTTGTCCCGTTTTCTCCAATCCAGAGTTTCTTCCAGGCATCTCTTCGGGGGAAAATGTTACCGCCCCCCCCCCCCCGAATGAAATAAAATTTATATAATTTATATAGAAAATATATACTTTTAACAGTGTCCGCCCCCCCCCCCCCCCGAAGAAAGTCTACCCCCCCCCCCCCCCGAAAATGTCAAGTGCCTCCCCGGAGAAAAAAGTCTGGAAGAAATACTGCTCCAATTCCCCCCCCCCCCCCCCCCCCCTCCAAGCGCACCCTCGTCAAAAACAAAAGTTTGAACCCCCTCACCCACTCCCAAATTCATGACGTCATTTGGGCGACCCATACTGAGTGACGTAATTGCACTTGTAAAGTCTGTAACCCATCTTTCCATGTGCATGCATTGTGTTGTGCTTTATTTATTAACTAAAACAGTAGGGAAAGTTCTGTTTATGGTTAATTTATCGAAATCCAAAAAACAATTAACAAAACGTCATAAAAAACAACTCGCTCTAGATATGGGTGGGGGGAGGGGGGTATTTTTATGACCAGGGGTGACATCTGAAAAGCAGTGTTTCTTCAAGATGTGGGGGGTGTGGGGGCGGACACAGATAAAAGTATATATAAATTACTTTTCGTTGGGGGGGGGGGGGGGCGGTAGACTATCTTCGGCGAGGGGGGGGGGGGCGGGGCCATGGTCATGTATGTACGATGGCCTACTACAATGGTTTTAACACATTTTATGAAAATTACGTATGATACGTTGGGTGTAAACGAATATAGGAACTGCATGGTCGGATGGCGGAGCTTACAACTGCTAGCCCGAAGCTCTGATGGGTATCTGAATCACGTTAGGGAAACTACGGCTGACTGCATTATCTCCCTTTATAACGAGGTTACTGAAACATATAAACTCTGCTTGATCTACCCCATGTATGTTCAGCACGAACTGGAAAAGATGATGAATATAGATTGTAGACGAACCTCGGAAAAATCATAGGCTGAGCATTTTTAACCGTATCTTAAAGCAGCAAGTCAACATGACCTTCACCTTTATCTTAGCTAATAAACATTTTAATCAGTGCAGATGAAAAGGAATTTTACAACTCTACAAAAACAAGATTGCTTCTGTGTTGCATTACAGTGAGAGTGGAAATTAATAATCTCTTTCAAAATTTTTATAATGAATAAAAGCGCACACAACGTTTAAAGAGAAATCAATTGGTTGAGTTTTGGGAAAATAAAGAAACGTAAAAGAAAAAAATAAGAGATTTGGGTTAATATTTCAAGGGTTATGTTTAAAGTTGCAGTTTAGATAGTTTAAAAAGTTAATTTTAAATCTTAGTACGCAGAATAAAAAAAAAATGTGTCATTTATTTCTGGAGACAACCACAACAAAAATGTAAGACGTCAGTGAACTAATATTTAAGCTTCAATTACGGCTTTTAATCCAACTTTTCAAACATGACAACTAGACATGAAATTAGATTTATGATTTAAAATCGATGCATAATGAATATATAACACATAGACCTTTAAAAAAAGCAAACAATAATTTGCCTATCTATTTCGTCTTTTTATTAAATAATTACTTACAAAAGCGTTAAAATGGTGAAACAGTAAACAATATTACCCTACCCCCCCCCCTCCACCATTACAGGGTTAAGTGGTAGCGCTTACGGTTGTTAACCTGAAGGTGTTGGGTCAGCACGACAATCTTTATGCCATGTCAATTGTGGTTGTATCAACCTCCGGAAGGACACAACCACCAACCAGAGTTTCTTCCAGACACCGTTTTCGAAAGGGGGGGGGGGGTGGGGCGAACACTGTTAAAAGTATATATTTTCTATATAAATTCCATAACGTGGGGGGGGGGTGAGCTGGAATAAACACTGCCACCCACTCATTCCATATCGAAATTACAGACGCATGTCAACTCTACTTCAAATACCCAAAAAGAATGGACATATAATATACGCAAATTTTTAAAAAATAGAATTTTGTCAACTCGCTCGCTGGGGGGGCGGACACTGTTAAAAGTATATATTTTCTATATAAATTATATAAATTTCATTTCGTTCGGGGGGGGGGGGGGGGGCGGTAAAAAATTTTCGGGGGGGCTTTTGGCCCCCCCCCCCCCCCCCCCCCCCCGAAGAGATGCCTGGAAGAAAATTTGGCTGGAGTTTAGGGTAAAGACATAATATAGGCCACCCAATGCTGAAGAAACGTCTCTTTAAAAATACCTTTAAGCCTGACATGCGCACTAAACTACTTCCCCTTCGACCTCACCGTGTGACTCAATGCATCGTTAAAACACCTTTTTCTTTCCTGCTTGTTATTCTCCAATTTAGTTTCTGTCTTGACAACTGATGTTTTTATACTCGCAGATTGCAATTTTAGAATTGTCGTTAGTGAAGGAAAAAAACAACAACGATATCTGGCCATGTGCATTTGCTACATATTTAATTTAAGAGCTAGGTGCTGAGTTCTTCAGTACACATTTGATAATAATACTTTTATTGTACTGGGTTAAATCTAAAGGCAAAGTTCAATGAGTATAAGGGATGAGGTTTTGTGCATTTGAGGTCAAATTGAGAATTATTAAGTCGGAAGTTGGAAGTTCGAATTCAAGACACGATAGGTTTTTTTTTTACGCTAATCTGGCTGGTCATTGTATAAATCGTTTCAGATACTATGAGAAAATGTCGCTGACCACAAAGATGCGCAACGAAAAACTGCCCAAGGGCACTTTTGTTCTCTTAAATCATGCATTATGAGACATTAACAAAGAGTGACCACATGTACATTGTAGAATAATAAGACATATTTCCACGAAATATGACAAAATTAAAGTTTATTAGTATAATTAGTTTGTATTTGCGCATTTTTTTGTTTGCGCATATTTCCGATTGCGCATTTTTCCGATTGCGCATTTTTTCCGATTGCGCATTTTTCTAGG